CACTAACGATAGAAATTATTTGACGTCCTTTTCCCAAATGTATCTGGTCTCTCTTGGGAAAGTAGCGCTGAAGTAAACATGTTTATCAGACAGTTACTTTTTCCGCCCTGAAAACTCATGTCAACGAAAATAGTTAGCAAATTTCTCTCGGAGCCCATTGTGCATCTGTAGTGAATTTGAATGTCAGTTTTCAAACAAGTTAGTCACTTCCATTTAGAAAATTGACGCAATATGTTCATCAACATTTAACCTAAATCTAGTGAATATCTATCTATCTATCTATCTATCTATCTATCTATCTATCTATCTATCTATCTATCTATCTATCTATATATATATATATATATATATATATATAATATATATATTTAGATGTTTATCAATCTGACAGATTTTAATCACTTTAATTCAAGTTACAATTAAAGTGATAATATATATTACATATATACATATATATATATATATGATATATATATATATATACATATATATGATATATATGATATATATATATATATATATATATATATGATATATATATATATATATATATATATATATGATATATATATATATATATATATATATATATATATATATATATATATATATTAGATATACTATATATATATGATATATATATATAATATATATATATATTAGATATAATATATATTATATATATATGATATATATATATTATTGATATAATATATATTAATATAATATATATTATATATATATATGATATATATATATTAGATATAATATATTATATATATGATATATATATTAGATATAATATATTATATATATGATATATATATATTAGATATAATACATGATATATATTATATATATAATATATACATACATATATAATTGAACCTTGTTAGGCTATGACGATCTTAGTCTCAAGTACGATGGATCAGACGGTGGTTCCCCCTACAACGGTGTCTCTCATTGTCAAACCTTGCAGGGGGCTAATTTTCTTTATTAAGATTATCGGATGCACAGACCGCTAAATGTATTTAACGTTTGTCTGCTCAAACATGCATAACCATTAAAATATAACGTTTGAAGTAATAATAATATATATATATATATATATATATATATATATATATATATATATATATAAGCCTTAAATATAATTTTTTAATCCAACATAAATATAAACGTTATTTTAAATACGTACGTATTCAATTTGCTATCCATAACCTATTTCGGCAGAAGACGGTATCGATTGTCTGTCTTATCAACCCCGGTGTGGACTCAGTTCGGGTCTGAAACAGAAATCTAACTGTAAAAGCTAAAACAAAAAAAAAGAAACGGTTTAAAAATCTAATACAGAATTAAACCATTTCAATGTTTTCGTCAGACGAAAGGCACGAGAAGGGGTCAGAGGAGGGTGGAAGGTACTTGTCTTAAGAGGAAAAAGTTCTATAAAATTAAACCCGAATATTCACCTTATGACATTAATTTAGAACTTATATAAAGAATGAAATATTAATGTAAAATTAAAAGAGGGGTAAAAAGGGATTAAAATAACTTTAAAATATATAAATTTATGTATAGAATTATTAACTTACACAATAACCATATTTCAAGTAATTTCTGTGGGACAAATGACAAACCTGGTAGTGAACTCTCCTGCAATTGTAGATTTAAATAAAACTGTCTAGTAGAGAACAAATGCAGATCTACCAGGGTTATATATCAAGCGATCATTTATCCCCCCAAAAATATGAAAAATTTGATTCAGATGATAATGTATATAAATGTGTGTGTGGTTGACATTGTGTGTGATGATTTTTCGCGTGTTGATTCCGGAACTTATATATATATATATATATATAATATATATATATATGTTAGCAAGGTCGATTTTAATGTTTTTAAACTACAATCTTCCATGACTCTCTCACGTACATTCATATCTGCCTATGGCGTATCCAAATGTAAACTAATGACGTCACACATTATGAAATGGACGAAGTCCGGTAATTATTTTAAACCATTTTAAAAACAGTAAAATCGACCTTGCTAACCGAATGATCCTCTGTAGCTCAATGGGTAAATGCATGTCAGGCTATATGATGGTTCCGTATAGGATACAGATTTGATTCCTGTCGGAGGACGAATATTTTCTATGGCAATTTCTCGGACATTCAGACCGGTAAATCTTGTTAATACTGTTTATTATAAACAGAGCATTTACTTAAATATTTGTATCTGTAAAAAAAGAATCTATAAACATAAAAAATGTCTTCATATATATATATATATATATATATTTCTGGTTAGCAAAGTTCAAATTACTGTTTATAAACATACATTGCTCGACGATTTTTCTCGAGTGGTCTTAAACAATGACGATTTCCGTATAGGAATACAGTTTCGATTCCTGTGGGAGAACGTATATTTTATAATACTGTTTTATTAAAAACAGGGCATTTAATTAAATAAACTTTATCTATAAAAATGACGTATAAACAGAAAATACATTAAATAATTGTCGGATTTGATGCATTTCATTATATGTTGTCATTGTTTACCTTAATATACGTTTCGTTAGCAGATATGATCGCTCGAGAAAAATCGTCGAAGACAGTGTGTTTATAAACAGAAATTTGGAATCTGATAACCAGATGCTCCTCTGTAGCTAAATGGTGTAGCACGTCAAACGGAGAACGCATATTTTCTACGAAATTTCCTGAACATTCAAGCCGGTAAATTTAATTAATACCGTTTAATTAAAAACAGAGCATTTACTTAAATGAATTGTATCTATAAAATAACGTATGAACAGGATATATACATATAGATAGATAGATTCATCGATAGATAGATTCTCAGCACTATTTATACACGTGTCACACACACACACACACATACATATATATATATATATATATATATATATATATATATATATATATATATATATATATATATATATATATATATATATTACATTGTTCATATCCTGGATTTCTTTTCAAAAGATTGACTTCTCACCTCTCCAAGCAATGTGCCGTACATAAACATTTAGTACAAATTTCTAATTACCGTCCCATTATAGTCGATAGTGCAACGGTATTCTGTCAGTCCAACTGTAAAAACGATTAAAAATAATGTCGAGTCTTCACATCAAACAACGGCAAACTATCATCAATAACATTTGTTTCAATCTCGTGTGAATGTGTGGGAGAAAGAAACTTTGACATTGGCGTGTTTCGCGCTTAAACATGCAGTTAATTTTCCTATTTCTTAGTCGTTCCTTTAGCTTTCGAAAGGCATTTTTTGCTATTTCAATATACTTTTTTGATTTCTGTGACACATTTTCCCTCCTTTAAATGTCAAAAAAATCTACAACGTTGTCTCTTCCCATAAAAAAATAACTATAGAAATAAAAATGTATGTGTATAGAAAATAGCCGTGTGCTAAATAGTGTTATCAGGGATCGGTGTTCGCGCCTAATTAAAAGCTTTATTTCTAATGATGATTTATTAAGGCAAACAAGTTCTCATTACTTGGAATTATGGCGTCACACGATTTTCCCACCCGGCTCGATGCTGATCGTGTGATCGCCTTAATCTTAATAAACATCTATTTAATCAGTCTTTTTTAATCCAGGAAAATACTTGATATGGAACGTAATTAGCTAACAATTTATCATCCACATTTTAAACATGATTAAATGTTTGTTTTAAATTATTAAGCACAAAAACTTTGAAGAATAAACAAACACTTTCATGTTTTCACGCATTGTTCGTCGGCAAACGAAGGTTGTTTAAGATTTGGCTGCAAAACGTGACAAGATTACCAAAATTCTTAAAATCTTTTACTCCGAATTATTTTTCCTGAAAAAAAAAATAAACACGTGCTAAATTCCCATGATAAATTCCATGACATCAAGAAATATTTATTGGAAGAAAATCCGTCTACAAAAATCCAGGAAAAAAAAATCTATATACATTTTATACTTTAAAACTAAAAACTTTCTCGAGAAAAAAAAATTCTAAAAGATTAATTTTTTTTTATTATTCAGACAAAAATAGGCAGTTTCATTCTTACCTACAAAATCGAATTGAATTTTAAAGCCGGGCGGCATCCAGAAATCTAAATAGTGATGATTCATTTTTTATATCGATTTCACTTGTTGTGAAACACTTGAAAAATGTTTATTTAATATCCTTTTCTTTTTCTTATGCTTCTTATCCCTTCGGGACGTGTGCGATCATGACTTTTTATGTTTTGTAAATCTATGTAAAGTTTGTTCATTTACTATGGCCCCAATCTCCCTGTTCTACCCTACCCAGATCCCAAACACCATTTACATGGCCATGCTCTTGGGACAGTCAATGAGGTATAAAAACAATGCCAATGGCTTGCTAATAACTGTCTAAAAGAAAGCGATCCGATTTAATTTCCTGCAATTTTAAGAAATACCCCTAAAATGTGAGCATATAAATACCGTTAATCGAGATTCAGTTTCACAAATTCTAGATGTGAATCTTTTAAAAGTGTATCTACTCAGATTAGCTTAATTTAGCACAAGGTGATAAATGTGAAGCGCCCTGTGAGAATCAAAATCATTACTGCAGAAATGATATATTAGGCTAACCAGGACTCATTTACGAGACGCCTGTCAATTTAGATACATCGTTTTTGCGGCGAGACCATTCAGGACGCGGGCTCACGTGGCTCTGAGCACAGCTGCCTATCCTTTTGCAGTCTTAAGTAGTGTTTGTGCCCCTGCTATCGCTCCCAGTCGATGTTCTGTCATCCATTTACACAAGCTCATTTGGTAGGTTACTCGCCTCTTGTTTCTGTCCCACTTGGCTTCAATATGGCGCAGCTTAGACGTGGCACAAGGCCAAAAGTATGGATCGAACTCACTACTCAGTCGTAATTATTCAGCGATACAAGCTTGCTAGACATTACACTACGCCGAGGTGTTCCCCTCTTGCCTTCACTATGCCCCGCACGGCTTACTGCCATATCACCTTTAAACACCTTTTCTCGTCCGACCTCCAAAGTTAAGCAACGTCAAGCTTAGTCTCTAGAAGGGTGACCGCTTGGGAATACCAGGTGCTGTAAATTTGGATGAGCAAGTCGTGAATGGGTAACAGCTCGGAATAGAATATCTGAGAGCGGAGTTCGAATTTCAATCGGTTTCGTTGCATCGATTTAGGTGCAAATAACCTCGGGAAAGTAATGAATTCACCTCTTCTCACATAGATATGGGTTAAACAGTAGGATTTCTATATGAAAATCGTTAATATCTCAAACAAATATAATATTCATCCGTTAAAAAAAGAATTATGCTTACAGTGCAAAAATATTTTTCGACATTAAATAACCTACAAAAGGTTGATAAGCCATAAAAAACTAATCAAACAATCAATATCTCCTACGAATGTCAAATTTTCTAAGTCTTTTTATGGGAATTTCTAAGTTTAAATATCCCTTTTTGTTTAATTTTTAACAGACGGTAGCACTAGCTGCTCGACAAATGAATGCCGAATGTTTCCTTATAAGGAAGTGGCTAATATCACCATTACTACGATTATCATTGACTAACATTCATACCATTGAAAGGGAAACACCTCCAAATGATGATAATTCTGCTTTAGTGTGTTACTATAAGGATGGCGTTCTTTTGGTCATATGGTCACTCATCATTTCACCAATCATTACAGAGTTGGGCTGTAGCGAGAAAGTTTAATTTACGTTTCGTTTAATCAAAGAATTTAGAAAGTTTCTCTAACGGTTCAAAATCAAAGTTCATCGGAGAAACCCAGATTTTTTCAGCAAATCTGTCTGGTTTCGTTTCGTTTATTTTACGGCATATCAACCTCAATGGATTATATAATGCCAACAATTTTTATTGCTGGTAATATTTTTGTTTTCAAAAATGAATTTCTGGTAATATATATATATATATATATGTGTGTGTGTGTGTGTGTTTGTTTGTAAATATATATAGAAAATAAGAAAGAACTCGTTAGGTAAATAATCCAAAGTTCTTTAGTATTTTTGTTATTATTTTTTAAAAATAGTGCTCGATACAAAAGTAGAGCATAAATAATTATTTATTTAAAAATATGATTCCAACGCTACATAAGAGTTCTCATGTTTCAAAACAAGAGCCGAAAACTTCAATATAATTATTTGAATTAAATTGAATTAAAGTACTAAGCTCTGTTCCATCTTCAAGCAAATTTTTTTTTTTGAATAACCTATTCCTGAAATTTACGCGTTTTATAAGTATATTCATTAATGAAATTTATATATATATATATATATATTTAGAAATTATTTCTGTTATTAAAAGTATTTCTTGTATTTTTTCACTTTTGTAGTGTTTTGACCCCAGTGTGGGGGTCAACTCTCCGCTCATAGCCGGGACTCCAACAGGCGCCGGGTCAGCAATCAAGAGGTGGTTCCACACTCCTCAAAACCTCCTGATCAGAGGCCTTGCTGTTTGCTCGTAGTCCATCGTCTTACCCAGGACGTGAATGTAGTTTATCGTCATACCCAGGACTGGCAAATCTGTTTTCCAATCAGTACAAGAATTTTTGTTCAATTCATTACCAATATTTTTTTCAGTAATCGATATTCCACCTGTTCTTTAATCAGTAATCGATATCCCACATGTTCTTTAATCATATTTAATCTTTTTTTTTTAGTTGGATTCTCGTTCTCTTTATTTATTCAGGATGATTGCGAAGAAATCATGCGTAGAGCGCTACTTCGAGGAAGGTTTTTGGTGGTGCCACATGTTTTTCCTCTTCAGAGTAACCGATACAATTATACGGGCAGAAATATTTAATATCGTTTTAATGGATTTGTGATTCAAATCTTCATTATGTCGCTTAATTGCGACATCTACATTTTGACTAAGTGATCAATTACTTTTATCATGGCACCGTTGTTGCAAGAAGGTGTAGCGAATGCCGACTGTGATGGTAACATTCGCGAGTGAAATATTACTTGAAAATTCGAAAGTTTCTATCCAAATACAGAACTTTCTAGACTTGTGTTGCTTCTTAAATAAAATGTTCATGATAAATGAAATACGGATACATTTTCATCGTAAATGTTTGTTTCTGTTGTATTGTGCGTTGTGTCTTTGGAAATACATGTTTCTCTTAGCAATTCTTACGTTTATATCCAAATACATCACCTGCGCAAATTTAAAACGTAAGCTTCGGAAGTATATTAAATATGATATTTTGTAAGCATCTAAATAACACTTTCACTCTCCTCTATATAGGTATGAAAAGCTAAAACCAATTATATCTGTATTTTCGATTTACTTATTCAATGTTCGTTGTTAATTTTTTTTTATTTATTCTTGTTCCTCATTATTTTTGATTTCATATTTATTTCTGAAAATAAATTTTCATATATCTTGGCACATTCGGCTTGAGTTAACCATTAACAGATATAAGGTCTTTTAATGGGGCTGTTTCTTCTCAGATGGTATTTGTCGCTGCATCATTAGTGATGAGGTCGACGGTGGAGATATCAAGGATGGTTATGTAAAATCCCATTTTCAGATTGGCATTCTTCACTATAATTCTACTGTTAATGTCCAAGATTCATGAGCGTATAAAATAGTGAAGTAAAATTCCCGCATCTGTGATCTTTGATTTCAGGCAGATTTTATTCTCTTTACAGATAGATATAGAGTAAGCCAAAACCAATTATATATATATATATTAAGAAATGGACAAAGTCCGACAATTAATTTATTAAAGACAATTTTATATTTTAACGTTCTTTTTTATAGATACAAGTATTTAAAGTAAATGCTCTGTTTATAATAAACAGTGATAAATAACATTTACCGGCCTGAATGTCCGAAATTTTCATAAAAATATTCGTCCTTTGACAGGATTCAGACACCATCCTATACGGAACCGTCATTTACGCTGACATTACATAACCAACTCGGACACAAAGGGAAGGTTCGGTAGGCAAGGTCAAATTTAATAACTATAAACTTCAATCTTCCATGAATGTCGTACATTCATAACTGCTCTGGCGTATCAAATATAAACAAATGACGTCATATATTAAGAAAAAAAAGAACGTTAAACATAAAAAAGTCTTTAATAAATAAATTGTCGGACATTGTCCATTTCTTAATATATGGTAGCCGAGACGGTAAGGCACGTCAGCGTAAATGACGGTTCCGTATAGGATGCAGGTTCGAATCCTGTCAAAGGACGAATATTTTCTATGAAAATTTCTCGGACATTCAGGCCGATAAATGTTATTTAATACTGTTTATTATAAACAGAGCATTTACTTAAATACTTGTATCTATAAAAAGAGAACGTTAAACATAAAAATGTCTTTAATATATATATATATATATATAGAGAGAGAGAGAGAGAGATTGCAGATAGATATAAAATAAGGCAAAGCTAATTATATATATATGGATATAATTAATGCTGAAATCACCATTATATATATATATATATATATATATATACGTCGTCCCCCCGGTCGCAGCGCCAACTGTGACGTTCTATCCTGATCTACCGGCGCCAATTGTGACGTGCCCGTTCAGGTCCTATCCGGTCACGACACAGTTGTGACGTCCCTAAACAACACCAATTGTGACGTCTTCGCCGCGGCGACGGCTGTTCGCTCCCTCGCTGCTCCATCCGGGTGTCGCTGCTCCAAACGTGACGGTCGCCTGTCGCGTCAGTCGTGTTGTCGTACTGTGACGACCAACTGGCTTGGTATCGGTCGCGGCACCCAGATGTGACGTTCTAACCTTTTTTGGTGATTCGGTGGGAATCTGGTTGAATATCGCCTCGCCGTTCCCAACTCGCTTCCAACGCCTGGTTACCGGTAACACTGATCTCCAGTCTGCCTACCCACGTTGTGAATTGATCTTAGACAGACGAGATCAAACAGGGGTTGGGGCCGTAATCTGAAATTGAGTTCAACGGGGTGATAACACACAAATATGCATAAAAAAAAGAAAATGAAAACTCAAAAGTTCAAAGTATCAAAAAAAAGGTAACAAACTTTATGTCTAGTTGTTTCGATACATGGGACTGCATCTATCTCCGACCCGTTCTGTGGATTGTGACGTCGCTTTCGCTGGGCAAGTTTTAACGCTTCGTTGTTTGATCTCTAAGAAATTTGTGTTTCGGTGTGTCTTTGGACGAAAGTCGAAAAAACTTATTTCTGTGGTCTGGTTCTAAGTCGCTCTTCAAAATAATTGTTCTTGGTTGAAGAGGTCAAAATTTTGCGTGAATCTTGGTCAGCTATCTTGGTCTATCATCTCTGCCGGCGGGGGCCCGTACTCTCTGGACACTCAACTCTGCCGTCCGGGACTGAACTGATTTCTGCCTGTTGGGGCCTCGTTTTATTGACGCCGTCAAAAACCGGGTTGGGTCTGTTGGCGTCGGGGAGTTCCTCGATAATTCTAAATACATATCCACCTCTTTTATTTCTGGTTAGGGATTTTTCTCTTTTCCATTTTTGGTAACTTTTTTCACTCCCACTTTCTTACCATGCTTCTGAGGGGCGTGGACTACCTCCCCCCACTTCTTCGTGGCGGCTTCTCATGCTTATACTCTGAATGGGGACGTCGACAGTCTTCTTCGTGCGTCACGATCACTCTCGGCCCATTGGGTCTTGGTCGGGTATGCCCTCCTCCTTCGTGCGTCATGTAATCACCACTTGACAATGACGTCTTAGTCGGGCGTGAACAACCCGCGGCTTTGTTTGGAAAAAGAAATACCTTGCAACTAAAAAATTAATTAAATCGCCGTTATCATGAACGGATAATATGACACTCTTTGTTCAACACGTGGCGTTTGTCAAGCAGTTTATCGCCAATTCATCAGACAGCTGGTTTTTTTCCGACATGGTCTCAGAAAATTTTTCCAAGTTTTCGGTCAGTCTGACGTCTCCAAGGCAGAAATAAAACATTTCTTATTCCATTCATTTTCCTTCGGTTCATGTGTCTGATAACAACATTTTATTATCGCAGGGCAAAAATTTGTTTTTGTCGAAAAGAGCTTAACTAGCGAGACGTCTTGTGTGGATTTTAATTTTCCATATCC